TACATGTATTGGACATTAATTTTACGGTAGTATACCGTTTTTGGAAGTGAAAAAGACTGTAGTGAATAACCGTAAATTGACATTCCCGTAAATTGTTTTTTTTGTTGAAATAACTGTTTCTTCTCAGTTTTTTCTTATCAGTTTTGTATATTAGGGTTGTAAGGGTTTGGAACAACATGAGGGTGAGTAGCCTAATTGATGACAAAATTTTCATTTTTAGATGAACTACCCTTTTAAAGATATAGAAACACAATATGGCAAAGGTTTAACTTTTTAAAATCTTTACCAGTGGCGTAGGCAGAATTTAATTTTTGGGTGGGCCTGGGCAAAAGTGAGCGGGCACTAGTAACTAACGGATGGAGTCGGTAGGTATTCCGGTCATTTCAATCTTTTCTTTGATCCTATTGAAAAACAAACCATAGAACACAGTGGAAGACACGCATAGTAAAACTCCCACGTCTCTGTCTCCGTCACGAACGTGCCGATTGTCAACATAACCTAAAATCATTCACAAAAGCCCCAATCCCTAAATACTGTCGCAGATTACAATAGGTCACTCGAACTTTAAAGTTAGAAGCTGTGTAGAAAGATTCTCTCACGCAAGGTCACTAATGTACGTCTGCTCAATTAATATGAATACAAAACACAGACGTATCAGTGTCACTTAAGCCACACAACATCGACAAGAGAACTGTAGCTACAGCCTGTCCACATGATCAAAACCTGAGTAGCAGTTAGAACGAAAATTAAATACTGCTTTATTTATTCCGAAACAGAAGTCATTTAAAATGTTATTTGTGTATTTTAATTTTCATTTCATCATTCTACAGTAAATGCACAAAGATAGCCTATTCAAGGCAATGTATTTTCTCATCATATTTCCTCAAATATATTAGATATAATTGAAGCGTATAAAATTATTTTATTCAGAAATGTCATGTTTATGATTTATTTTTTATTTTTTAAATTCGTTATTTAAATTAATAGGACTGCATATTCGGAAACAGGTGCAGTTAGTCGCCGGCGTCAGTCGCAAATATTATAAAATTAATCTTTGTGAGGACGACTGGCAACAGCTGGCCTTAAATTCTTTAAACACAGCACACTAAATTAATTTAAACACTGACTGAAAACATTGACTGAGGCCACATTTCATTCATAATCGGCCTGACAGTAGTGTGTTCCCGGCTTTACAGAATGAACATGATCAGCCTGCTCTTGGAACTGAAAAGTCTTACCGTTACTTGCGGGCTGATGGATGGATTCTCTCCCGTGTCAATGCCAGTTTTTAAAAGTCAATTTTTTACAGAATATGCATTGCTGCTGTCACACAATTGCAAATTATTGGTTAACTGACTGGGTGAACACACAAATTCACAGACGTGACATGCCTGAGATAGCCTGGTTAATACCTAACATAGCTGTCAATCAAACTCATTAAGAATTGAGCAAAAACACATTTTATTTATTTTAGTATTTGAGATGTTATAATAGTTTTGTAATTGTGTTAAAATAGATTAAACAACAATTAACAAATATGATGCTTGTATAATAAACTGGAGGGGCCTATAGACCAATTTCTGTTTGCAAACAGTTTTGATGTTTTTTTGTGGGTGGGTTAAATCTGGTGGCAGAAAATGAGAGTTTTAAAGTAACAGTCTATGGAAGCCATAGAATAAAAGGATAAAAAAGGTAATTTTGAGTTTATATTTCAAAATTCTGACTTTTTTATCTCGCAATTCCGAGATTATATCTCACAATTCTGAATAAAAAAAAATCAACTCGTTATTCTTTTTTTCCCCCTCGGCTCAGAATCATGAGTTTATAACCCGCACTTATGGCTTTTTTTCCCCCTCAGAATTGACAAACTCGCAATTGTTGAGTTAAATCGAGTTACAAAGTCCGAACAAGGATATATAAACTTGCATCTGCGAGAAAAAAAGTCATAATTGTGAGATAAAATAGGTAAATGTTATGTAAAATGTTTAAATAGTGGTCTATTTCATGCTGTAGCTGTAGGGCTAATACAATATGTCCCCTGTGAACTGCATGTGGATATTATGTAGACCTATTGTATAAATCAAATTTATGCTTTAAAAGTAGGGTAATCATAGCAGGTTTCATCCATAGTCTGTCTGTTTAAACGTCTACGTTTAGCTTCAAATGGCGTCTTTGACGACAGTATTCTGTAAAAATGATTTGCATTCTGATTCTGACATCCAAAGGCACAACAATAAATTTTTTCTCTTATTCCATGGATTTTACCCGTTTCCCTCCACTTGTTAACGTTGTTTTTCTGCCACCACAATGCGCACGCAGCTGCAAGTGACGTAACTGTGACGAATACTCCAAATTGGTCTGTTCATCATAGTGGGCGGGCCTATGCCCATCAGGCCCGTCCGCTGGCTACGCCCCTGATCTTTACAAGCATGACAGAGTGATTTGATGTGCACATATAACATGCGTTTGTACATAAAAATTAGTTCATTTTCATGAAAAAGTACAACAACCTTTTATTAATGTTTTTAATTGCATAGTAAATTCTGTTTCGACACGTAATCTCCCTTTTATAACTATCTCAGCTAACCAGTTTTTTTCAAGAATGATCTCACAGCATCCCAGAGGTTCCTCCTCTTTTATTATGAGGATTTATTTTTCTTATTCTTTAAACAAGTTTCAAGGGATATTAATCTGTTTTTCATATTGTGCATGAACACTCCTAAAACTAAAAGTTTTTGCAGCGATGCAGAAGAACCATTTTTTAGTTCCCCAAAGAACCTTTCAGTGATCAGTTCTTTAAAGAACCATTCTTTCCTTAATGTGAAGAACAGTTTTCCACTATAACAAACATTTTGTGGAATAGAAAGATTCCATGGATCTTAAAGGTTCTTCATGGAACCATCAATTCCAATGAAGAACCTTTATTTTAAACACTTATTTAAAAAGTGTACATGCTGTGATGCCTAAATGCCCAAATTCATGTAATGTACATATATATCAGTTACCAGCCATTAAATGAAAACAATTATTTTTAGTATCAGCCAGAATTTCCATATTGCTTTATCCGTAATTCTTAAACTACATTTTACTGTATTTTACTGTATATGTGTGTATAAAAAACAGAGGTAGCGTATGCATAGGTGTGTGTGCCAGAGTTTTTATGCGCTTTCCATGCTGTCAAGGGTTTCTGCCCAGCTTTGATCACTCAGACTCTCTTTTATGCTAATCAAAAAAGTAATATCCTCTTAATGGTCAAGATTAAGATTTTCTTCTGAGAATTAGTTTTTTCCTTCTGATAATTCTCACGGTAAAGATCAATTGGCATCAAATTCTCCCAGCCAGCACCCAGGATCAATCAATACCTTGAAAGGCCAAGGCTGCCTGCAACAGAGCACAGTTGTAGTTCTTGTGTTTCCCTGTTGGGGGCATTACAGAGACAAATTCATGTACAGACCTCCTAAATCAAACACAAATTGTCTAACAAATATGATGCGCAGGCACAGATTCAGCGAGGCCTCACAGTGTTGAACAAGCATCCTGTGAGGTTGCTTGGACCCCTCATCTGTGTTTTGTGATGCTCTTATTTTGGTATGAGTGGAGAACATTTCTAGAGGTGTCAGTTCAGTTCTCATATTTCATCTCTACCAGAGAGCCATACATGACCATTGTTGGACATGTCTGTTGTTATGTATAGAAAACAAACCTTTGATCACCCATAGATAGCATTTCAGTTCGGTGTTAAATGTATTAAACATGTATTAAAATTAGAATTATTAAAGCATCTTTGATTGCCCTTGTCACTCCATATGGATATATCTGTTTAGACGCACAAGAGAAAACTGGGTTGCTTCACTAACACGTTTTCCTCCCACTCTTCCCTCCCCCCATTTCTTTTTCACACACACTTTCTTTCCATTTCTCACCATTTATTTTTCAATTTTAATTTCACACTTTTTCTCTTCGACCTCCAACCCTCCTCCTTTCCCCCACTACCTCTGTTTGCTTGTCTTTCACTCTCTGCTTCCTGGACTGCATGACTCAAGGAGGATAAAGTGGTTAGAGTTTTTCTTTTCTTTTTGCTGTGTGCTATGCTAATGTGATTTGAGGAAACTGTGTTACGTCTGAATGTGCACAATCACTGGATTGAATGGACTAATTCCATTTCTGTAGCTAATATAAGAAGTTGTATATGTACATGTGTGAGAGACAGAGTGATTTGAATCTATTGCAAAACCTTCAGTTAAAAAAAAGCAAGTTAATACGCTCAAAAAAAAAAGAAAAAAGTTTACCGTAAAAATACTGTGACAATGTTTCAGTTATCATTGGATGGTATATTGGTGCCTATATGTTTTACAACTTATAACAACTTATAGCTACTTAATATAGAACAGAATATGTAACACAAAATAACATTATATACATTACTGATAACAAAAACAAGAAGAAACCTTTTAACTCGTGTACTGCACTGAAAATACTTTACCTAATTTGGTGTTCCCATTGCTCGTAAATTTCTCGTTATGCTATATTATGACAAAATCTTGGCACTTCTTATGCACTTCAGTTTTTGAGTGAACTTAATAATGTTTTTTTCACTCAAAAACTGAAGCCTATGATCAATCAGTTCCAAAAAGAAATACAAAACCTGTGCTAATTGAAAGAAAACAAGTTGAGAAAAAGATTGAATCCAAGATTTGGTGATTAATACAGCATAACAAAAAAAATTCTAAGCAGGTTTTTGTAGGTCGGGCATTTGTTGACTGGGAACACCACTAGTGTATCAAGTTGGGAAAACAAAAATGATTAAAAAAAAATTGGGGGGGAAGTTGTTATACCCTGTGTGAGCAAAGGCAGTAAGTTTTAGTCCAATGCAATAATATTAACAAGCATTTTCAGGAAAAGAAAATCCTCTCCAGGTCAAAATGACCGGAACACATGAGGTTAAATAAAAGGTGTGACATCTGGGAATATCCTTTTACTGTTTTTTTCACTATAAATTGAATGAATGAATGATGCATTTATATAGCGCTTTACTGTGTATTGTTGTACACCCAAAGCGCTTTACAGTCATGTGGGGGGGTCTCTCCTCAACAGTGTTTGGCAAGTTACTCTGAAAATTTAATCAAATTACTGATTACTGATTACTTCTTTTAAAAGTAATCACGTTACTGTTCTGATTACTTTATTTCAAAAGGAATGCGAGCAAAGAGCGCTGCATTTATAATCTCTAAAGGACATCTCAGTTCATCGCAATCTCACAAATTTCTGTTATAACAGAAATAAATATATGCATAAGGAATCTTTCATAATGTCTACAATTCATGTGTTATAATGAGAGGATTCGTGA